TGAGTGAGTGAGTGAGTGAGTGAGTGAGTGAGTGTGTGTGTGTGTGTGTGTGTGTGTGTGTGTGTGTGTGTGTGTGTGTGTGTGTGTGTGTGTGTGTGTGTGTGTGTGTGTGTGTGTGAACTGACCAGTGCTGGAAGTTGCAGTTGAAGACTCCGTTGAAGATCTCTCCCAGTGAGCTGACGTGGTGCAGGTTGTCCAGGATGACCACCAGAGGGCCTTCCACACCCCCCACACCGCTGCACTGCTCGGCCAAACCAGACAGGTACTGACGCAGCTCCTGAAGAATGGATTTTTCAATACAAGGGTCCAGGGAAAACACCAAAGCCTTTTTGGCTGAAAAATCCAAATCTCTCCAAAACATAGCTGTGTTCTATTTGCCATTGACTGAAACTTTAAAAGATGCAAGCACAGAGAATACTGAATGTGCATTTACCTTGCTGGATTTGTGGTCCACGTTGAAAGTGACGACAGCGTGCGGGGTCAGGGGTCGGCCGTCCAGCAGCAGCAGGTGTCGAGACAGCTGATTGGCCAGGTAGGTCTTCCCTGTTCCGCTGGGGCCCGACAGGATGACGCGGCGGTGCTCCTTCAGCAGGGAGACGTAGCGCTGCAGCATGGGCTTCGGGATCAGAGTGTCGAACACCAGCGAGTCCACACCCTCACTCCTCACACCTGCAACAAAATATGTATATTAAATATTTTTATTTTATTCAATTTCATTTTCTCTTCTTACTGCAGTCTTTTATTTTTATTCAAATGTGTATCCCCACCTGGGATAAATAAAGTATTTTGTTAACTTTTGTGACTGGGGCAGCTTTTCTCTGTAAGAAGTTTTCATACGGGAAAGCAGAGAATAATATTTTGGGCTATATGAGGTGCTGGTACCTCTGAGCTGGATGTTGATGGTGTTGCTGTCCCCCACCAGGTATCCGCAGGGCAGCAGCTCGGGGGTGTGTGCAGCGCGGGCCAGGCTGGGCCGGTGAATCTCTCCGATGTTGTACCCCTCCACGCTGTCAGAGCTCAGGCCCAGCTGGCTCAACGGGTCCACATGGGTGATGTACTCCTGGAGGAGCAAAAGTCTCAGCATTTAAACGATGTTTTGCAAAGTTTCCAAAGAGGACAAAACTTGAAATGTTTTTGCTGAACATAAACATATTTCAGAATGTAATTAAGAAAGAAAGGTGCTTTTAAACAAC